TAGGAGTCTGAACTCAGATTCGTCTCTCACTCGGAGCGTCGGCCTGCTGTCTCCAAACTCACGGCTGGACTTGATGTCATTTAGACGGACCGTGTGAGATTAGACGTCCATACAAGCGCACTATAATCCGAACCGCTCATTAGAAGTGCACCTGCCGCTTAGGGAGATGCGTTTCATTTATTTATACGGTGACCAAATATAACCGGTGCTGCCAGATCCGAAAGCGACAGAGACTCCGGATGAGAAGATTCAGCTGATGGTTAACATTAAATCACTCACAAACACACTCGTCATTGTCGTGACGTTCACACGCACTAGTATCTTCCAGCGTTACACGCAGCTTGGGCCCTGTTCTGTTCTGTAGGCTAGTGTTCAGGGATCGGCTAATCACAGCAGTGCAATAACCCTCATCCACTGAGACTGAAACTAGCTCATTAAACCCCATCAGTGACACTACAGTCAGCATTAGCAGTAGCTCTGACACTATATCATACACCTGTCTCTGTACTAATACTCCTCTGAATCAAGCATCTCTCACTGGTGCATGAGCTTCTGATGCACTGACTGACTGATTCTCTCACCTGGTTTCTTATAATATTAAGCGCAATCTTTAAATCCATGTATTAGCCTATAAACCTTAAACATGCATAAATAAACAGATGTAAACACGTGCTTTGAGTTGTCTGACTGTATTTACTCTGTCGTGTGTTGACTCATTCGCAATATACATGCAGAGTGGTAAACAGAGACAAACTGTATGAAATATAAATATCTGTGAATGCTAGGTTTGGTCTGTGCTAACTAAGATCTGTAAAAATCCTGATACAGATCAAACTCGGCTTCTCTTGGTATCTGTTCATGTGTACCATTACTTTGTCTGCTAATGGTCAGAAATATGGTGGATGAGCTGGAAAATTAACATAATATGAATATTGTAAAGTTGATACATTGCTTGGCAACTGTTATGCTAATGAAACACCCAGCGGATACACTGGTTTTAATAAACATAACTGTTCAGCTAATAACCTTGTTACTCTGACACATGACGAATAAATAATGTGTTCTAAACTCAGCTCAAAATATCAAACATATCTGATCTCCAGCTGCATGGAATCAGTCTGAAGCTAAAAATCAGGATCAGAATGTGATTTTCTGTGACGATCGCCCCTAATCTGAAGCCTGGCTCTGATTCTGCAACTAGTGACTCCAGACTAGATCTGGCTGAAAGTCATTTAGTGTGTTGCAGATTTCATTGCATCAGATCACATACTTAGCATTTGTGAGTTCAGTGTGTATGTGAGTGTGTGTGAGTGAGTGTGTGTATGTGTGTGTGAGTGTGTCTGTGTGTGAGTGTGTGTGAGAGCGTGTCTGTGTGAGTGAGTGTGTGTCTGTGTGTGTGTGTGAGTCTGTGTGAGAGTGTCTGTGTGAGTGAGTGTGTGTCTGTGTATGTGTGTGAGTCTGAGTGTGTCTGTGTGAGTGTGTGTATGTGTGTGAGTGAGTGTGTGACTGTGTATGTGTGTGAGTCTGTGTGTGAGTGTGTCTGTGAGTGTGTGAGTGTGAGTCTGTCTGTGTGTGTGTGTGTCTGTATGTGAGTGAGTGTCTGTGTATGTGTGTGAGTCTGTGTGTGAGTGAGTGTGTGTCTGTGTGTGAGTGAGTGTGTGTGTGTGTCTGTATGTGAGTGAGTGTCTGTGTATGTGTGTGAGTCTGTGTGTGAGTGAGTGTGTGTCTCTGTGTGTGTGTGAGTGAGTGTGTGTCTGTGTATGTGTGTGAGTGCGTGTGTGTGTGAGTGAGTGAGTGTGTCTGTGTATGTGTGTGAGTCTGTGTGTGAGTGTCTGTGTGAGTGTGTATGTGTGTGTCTGAGTGAGTGTGTGTCTGTGTATGTGTGTGAGTCTGTGTGAGTGTGTCTGTGTGTGAGTGAGTGAGTGTGTGTCTGTGAGTGAGTGAGTGAGTGTGTGTCTGTGAGTGAGTCTGTGTGAGTGAGTGTGTCTGTGAGTGAGTGTGTGTGTCTGTGAGTGAGTGTGTGTGTGTGTGTCTGTGTGTGTGAGAGTGTGTGTGAGTCTGTGTGTGAGTGTGTCTATGTGAGTGAGAGTGTGTTTACCTGTTGAAAATGTGTCCGGATTCCTCCGAGTGAAACGGTGCATGTGAAGGTGTGTCGTCTTCTGGTGTTTCTTGAGATCTTCTTCAAACCGATGTGACTCGGCCGACACCCGCTGACCTCTTGACCATCTGATTCACACAAACAATAACATTCATTCATCCTTCTGTTGTCTTATAACAGTGACACAATCTAGACTAGCTACCTCTGTCTTTCGGCCCTGACCAGGTGCTTGTACGATATTTCCAACCTGAAACGTTTAATTTTCTGTGATAAATGTTCTTTTTTTGTGGTCAGCCAGTGAAGACTTAATGACTGGCACACATGAAGTCATCTTAATGTTGCTAACAAAAGTTCTGTGGTGTAACATTAGTCATAGTTTCAGATTCTTACTTTCATACTATGGTATTTACATGATATTTCAAGACAAACATTTATTCAATTAATTCAAATCAACTTACAAGTGAGGAATAAAACAGTTATTAATGTTAATGAGGTAATATATCACGAGAAGTTCTAATAATACAAACAGAAGAGACTTTTTTACGGAACAATTTTCACCGTGTCTTGAATGCTGTCAGCAGTGCCATTAGCACATGCTACATGCTCCAGAAACATCACCAGAAACAGTAGATGCTTAGATTCTGTTTAGTTTCTGTCGCTTACGTGATTGTTCGTTTGAGGAAAGTCTCTTGCTCCGTCGATCGCAGAAGCACTTCTCTGAGGTGAGATACTCCACAAACACATTAACAATTAATGAGTAATAACAACACAAAGTTAACGCTGTCTGGAACAGTTCATGACTTTCAGTGCTGGATACCGTTTTTGTAATTTTCATTCACAATCCAGGATATTTTTTAGGCTTTAAACAAAGCACTAAAGTAACTTACTATGGAAATCTACACACTGCGGTCACTTTAGTAAAACCATGGTTCATTTTCATAAGGGACTGCCAGTTGCACCCATAACATGCAACCTTTTTATTCTGACAGTGTATGATTTAATAAACACTACAGCATAGAACATGATCAATAAATTAAAACCACAAATCAGGAACACACTGAGTGAAGTGAAACTAAAAGAATTTCAGAGTGAGAGAAAACAGATATGGATAACCTGTAGATGATTTTTCAGTGTTTTATTAAATATACAGTAAAAAAAAAGTGTACAGATCCATTAATATAGTATCCCCAGCATCAAATATTCTCGTTTCAGCCGATGGCATCGTGCCAGATAAATGTATCTATGAGATACACTAGATTAATAACTCTCACACGATCCTCCTCCTACAGTAAAGGACAAGAGTACCGCTGTAACCTCATAAAGAGGAGTCTTGACTGCATGGACTGGTTTCAGTGAAATCACACACACTGCGCTGTCGCTTGCATTGCAATCTGCCCAGAGATTCAAACGGATAGGAAGTCTGAACCATAAATGCATTCATACAGCTCTGTACATAAACACATTCTCTTGGCATACAGCTCTGTACAAATCTGATAATAGTATAATGAGCAAGAGTTCTTTCCCAAAAGTGACAGACATCACATGTAAAATTGCTTTTATTTTATACAAGGAAACTCTCTGTAGTTTAGAATAAATATTTAACTCTATACAGTGATATTGTACCAGTTATTAACCACTTTATAATTTTATACAGACATAAAAACTTTATAAAATACTTTTAAAAGCTGATAATCCCTGTTATAATTCTACAGGATTAAATGTGACTTATTAAAACATCTGTTTATTTGTTCAGAGGCGACGCATTCATATAAAACGTGCACGCTTGCGTCCTCCACACACACACACACACACACACCGTGTCATCATCGTTTTCAGTGATGTGTGTGAGCGTGAGAGTGTGTGCTGGTGTGTGTGTGTGTGTGTGTGTGTGTGTGTGTGTGTGTGTGTGTGTGTGCGCGTGTGTGTGTGTGTGTGTACAGGTGGCTCACAGCATTAAGCGCATTGAGGGCCGCTGTTCTTTAGCGGCGCCCCCTGCAGGCGGTGAATGGGACGGTCCCTCAGAGGGCATCAGTTTATCAGGAGTGTAGTCGTTCTGCTTCAGATCTGACCA